CTTAATTGTCACAAGGAAATAACTACCGGTACATAGTAATTTTTTTTAAATTCACATACGTACGTACAATAAATATAAGATATAGTATGTGATGATTAATCATACGTAATTTTGTTGGCAACGCTAGTATGAACCAAAGCGAATAATGCATTTAGAGAAACTTTTTCATATGGCGTGCACTTGGGGGTTTTCTGTATTTAATTAGTCATTTAAGGCAATTATAAGTAAAATTATGCTGGTGCTAGTGATATGGGATTGCTACGTAAAGCCCGATGTGATATTATAATGTTTAGAGATAGTGTATTATTCGACTCTTCTCGGTAATATCAAAATAATTAATGTTACGAAAACTGTCGTAATAAATTCAATTAACCTTTACATCATAGATTATTACATAATTACATCATAGTAAATCTTACGTAATGATCAATGTTACTTTATTAAACTTTCGCACGCATAATAATTTCTTAGCTTATTTGAGTCTAATAGAATAACTATAAATAGGGTTATTCATTATAAATAGAGGCGGATTTTTTTTTGCTCTATTAGCAAATATTTAATGCAAGATTGATCAAATTTAATTCATGTAGCGTAATGAATTTTGATTGCATATATACATACAAGTTTGGTTGATAAAACCCCCGGTAATTCTAAAATGCACCTGTGTTTAACAACATATATATTTTTTATTAAATTATTATTATAATACAATATTACAATACAGCAATAATAACATAAAAAATATATATATGGTGTTGAACACAATAGGTGCATTTTAGAATTACCGATAAACCTATGACGATAATCAACAAGCTAATATATACGTAGAATGTATATTTCATGCTTTTCAAATTACTGTGACCAACCAATGATCGCAAACCACGAAGAAATCTAAAAATTTTATAAATAAATCTAATTAAATTGTCTGGAAATAAAATCGGTAAATTTTATGTTGAAAAAAAATAAACAGAATTTCGATATTATTAGCCTAATATATTACTAAATATAATACTTAATGATTAAAATAAAACAGGCAATTTTTGGAATTTTTATTTACAACAGTTATTTGTTATTTAGGTTTCTTATGAAAACTGTCAAATTTTCAAATTTCTTAATGATGGGCGATTGTCAGATGGTCACAGTAATTGGAAAGCATGATGATAATAAAATCGATCTATTTGAATGCGAAACAATATATATTTGATTATTTTAAGGAAGTATCAGCTAAAATTTGTGCCTGGGACATCGAAGATTATGACCTTGTAGGGCTCTTAGACGCGGATATGTGCGTCATACAGTACGTAACATGGATGAACTTTTAGAATTAGATCTGAGTGACGATAAAATTGCTGCATGTCATGCGTGCAGATGTAATCCGCTTAAAAATCCCTTGTATCCTAAGAACTGGTATATGATTTTTTTTTAATTTTTTGTTATTATTTAATCTAATTAGATTATCATACTTAATAAACATATGTCTCTATGTTCTATTTAATTAATTTAATCGTATTTATTAGGATCCCAGAAAATTGTGCATACACGAAAGGACCAATTTATCCGGAATCTACTAACGTACCACCAATCACTAATTCTGAAAGTTATTTTAATTCTGGGCTGATAATTTTACGTCCTTCTAAATCGAAATTTAATGAAATATATAACCAACTTGTAAATCATGAAAACCTTGATCAATTACCATTTCCAGATCAAGATCTACTTAATAAAATATACAAAGGAAATTGGGTAGGGCTTCCTTATATTTATAATGCGTTAAAGACTTTGCGTGATTGCCATTCGTCGATGTGGTCGGACAAAGATGTTAAGAATGTTCATTACATAACCAAATACAAACCATGGAAGGAAGATAGTATAATTATGGAGCAGAAACTAGATAGAAGAGATAGTGTTTCGATTTTAAACAATTGGTGGTGGAAAGTCTATAGAGATGTAGGGTGGGATGATGAAGATTTTGAAGAATAAAGTATTTGTTGATTTTAAAGAATAAAGTATTTGTTGATTTTGAAGAATAAAGTATTTGTTAATTTTGAAAGATAAAGTATTTGTTGATTTTGAAGGATAAAGTATTTGTTGATTTTGAAAGCAAAATCTTCCTCTTTAAATATTAATATCACCACCCAAAATAACTTTTTTATTTTTTGTATTATTCCAATATATATCTATTTTTACGCCGTTTTACAAATAAATTTGCCAGAAACCCCCTAGAATAACCATCAAGATATGTAGTTGTATTACCATTATATGTTATTACGGCTTATATTGTAACAGTTTGAATAAGTCGAAATAGTTTCGGCCACATAATTTATTATATTATTAAACCATAAACAATTATTATTTATAAATTTTACGATGAAAAATTAAAGTCCAATTAGTATTGCCTAAATTCAGGAGCTAAAAGACATCGCATAGGTGCAATTTTTTTTATTTATCGTGTTTCAATTTGATTGACTAATCTAAATTTTGCATTAAAATGTTATGCATCTATGTGTAAAATGTTATGCTTAACATTTTTACTTAAGAGCATAAAGATAATTGTTTTAATAAAACCTCGAGAAACATTCAGAAAAAGAATTAAAAAAATAAATGCCTTTAAATTTTACAAAGATGCTATCTTTCTGTTTTCTACTTTTATGTAAAAGTGTTCGGCATGAAATTTTATGTAAAGATGCTTGAATTAGATTTTTTTTTTTTTTTTAATATATTCTAAGCTAGCCCTAAAATAAAAATTACGGTTATTTTTTTTTAAGGACAAATATATTTATCGCCGGTGGTTAAAATCCTAAGCCAATCAGATTGCATGATTCAAAAATTTTTAAATCAAAAACTCAAACTTATGACTATGATACTATATATTAAGACTTTCTAACCCTAAATGCAACTAAATGAAATCTTAATATGGCCATTGCCGACAACAAATATATTATTTTTTTTAAAAACATCATGTAACAATGGTTGAAACTAGGGATGGTAAAGTTCTTAGGTTTTAACCTTGGAACAAGTTTTAGAATCTAGTTCTTAAAAATCAAATTCCCATATGTTTTTTAATTGAGGAATGGAGTGATGAAATCACGAAATGTATAGTTACAAAAATCATTTTTACATAAAATTTAGAATGAACAAATTTTCTTACATTATTCTTGACTAATGACGTGCCATTTGTTTTGTCTCTCATTTCTAAGTCTTTAACTATGAGAACACAAATGGGGTTATTCTTTTGCTTAACGAGCAACTTGTGCAGCTTGATAGAATCGAATTTTTCCTTTTCTTATATATGTTTGTTTTGCAGTTGTCCCAACAGATCACAAGAAAACTATACATTATCTGACTGCCGTCCTGACAGGTCATGAAACAACTGCAATACATATATAGCTGTCGTCCGACAGGCCATATTCCAACTCCATCCAATGTGACTATCGTCTCGACAGGTCACGAGAAAACTGCATATCTCAATATATATATGACTGTCGTCCGACAGGTCATATATTAAATCAAACTTGCCAATAATGCCCAGCCTTACCATGTATGACTGCCGTCTCAGCAGGCCACCTTAAAAGCTAACTCTGATGGGTAAGGGAGGGCGGGACGATATAACCAGAACAAATATCGGGTTTGCAGAAGAAACAAAGTTATCTTACTTTCATAACTTACCGATACTAATATATACCTTAAACAATTACTCTCACACTTACTCAAGTTATCTTCACAGTCATGCTATATACTCATACTATCAAATTCCTGAAGAGGCGATTACCTCATACTTACATAATAGCTTGATCGATCCTTCGATCGATCAACATGTGACTGTAAACGGGCATGTCACATGCCTGAGTTGATTCGAGACAAAATCTGCCTCGATACTTACATATTGAGCAGTTTTTTGTTTTGTCTCTCATTTCTAAGTCTTTAACTATGAAAACACAAATGGGGCTTGCAGAACATCGAAAATTAATAAATTTCACAGGGCTAATAAGCCCAAATTTCTCTGTACATTTTGAGCATAAAAATTATCTTCCAAAACCCATAGCAGCTGATGTACCCAAACTAGCAGTACCTACGGCCCTTATATACAATCTTACTACATCTGATACCCAACCACATATGGTCTGAATTTGCTTAATAGACAAACCACCTTTCATAGCTGCTGTGGCTCCCCTGATTCTTAAGCTATGTGCCATAAATCTACCACCAATATTAGCATGTTCTGCAAAACGTTTTACTATTGCAGAGTTTGCAGGCACAGACATCTTTTTCCTTGACTTTGACAGAAACAATGACGCATCACCTTTTGTTACAAGCCTAACCCTGAGATACTCAACTACTCTTCTAACAGGGCAATATCTGCTCTCTGTTTTTTCAATTGGAATAAACTTTCTCTGAGCTAACTGGTCAGTTTTGGATTTGTTAATCCTCACCCATAACAACTCGCTTACTATTTTAATATCATCCAACCTTAAACTGCATAGTTCTCCCAGCCTTCTCATAGATCTCAGACCCAGAGCTATCAAAGCTAAGTCCCGGGTCCAAAATTCATAACTAATACCTTTCGGAGGAAAGTCTAAATAAAGCTTAAAAGTTTCAACTGGTAAAGGGTCTCTCAGCTACTTTGCTTCTGTATTCTGAGCTACAAATCTCTTAAGACCATTCATTGCATACTGAATTGCATTTTCTTTTGTTGGATCATGCCAACCCTGAACTTTATGGGTTCTAGAAATTGATATCAAGCATCCCACCAATTCAGATACTCAACCTAATATTTCTATCCAGGCAACAAAAGCCAAAACTGTAGAACTTGAAGCAGGTAAAGAAGAACTATTTGTTATCATAGCAAACTCTAAAAAGACTTTCCAAGCCTTTTTTAACCTCTTACTATATGCCTTACTAATAGAGTTTTCTATTAAACAACCTGCACAATTTAGATATTCTTGGACCAGTTTATTCATATTGCCTTTAATTTTCATTGATTGTTGTTACACAGTTTTAGGCAACCTGAAGAACCTGGTTGGATTATATCTATAGGTGGAAGAAGCTCTACTTCTTTTCTTGTTATATTCATAATTATAGGCCACCAGGGAGTGGCAACCCAAGTTGGAACAATAATTACTATCACTGCCTAGTATTCCTTGGCATGTGTGATAGTACGATGAATCATAGCAAAAGGGAGGCACAGATAGTTTATAACTCCTTTTCAATTCTGAGAAAAACAGTCTCCTGCCTCCGAACCTAGGCAGAAAAACAGGCTGTTGAATCTTTTCATTTTGGTATTTAAATGGTTTGCAAATCTGTCAACATCGAATTTTCCTCAAAGGTTTTCCAACTTCTCTACTACTTCTGTTTTTATATCCAATCTCCTAGATCCAAAACCCTTGTAAAATCGTTGGCCAAGTTGCTTTTGCTTGGAATCCAAAGAACTTGAAAAATCTCTATATCCTGCTCCAAACACAAATTCCAAATCTTTCTGGCAATATCCTTCTGCCATTTTCTTGGCCCACTATATTGTATTGTTCTGAATGCTACTCTGTTGTCTATCATTAATATTATTACTGAACCTTTTAAGTGATCTTCCAATGATTGCAGCATCCAAATTACTGCTATAGCTTCAAGCTGTACAATCATATTTGCAGACAGCTTTCTACCCAATTGCCACTTGCAACCAAATCTTGGTATACCCTGCACCAACCAACTAATGAAGCATTTATATACACTGTTTTTATTCTAGATGATTTTCATGCTGGGCGACCATTCCAGCTTGAAAATTTTCTATTAGCCACTGTATATCCTCCACTGCTTGCTTTGACAATACTATATTCTTGTCCTACTCATTTAACCAACGGTTTCTGGCATCTATTAATCGATAAAACTCCAAGCTTTTTACTTGAGCAGAAGCAAAAGCTCTCGCTAAGCTTTGAATTTTGCCTGCAACTTAAGCAAGCTTTCGGATTGACACCTTTGAAGTTTCTAATAGTGCTTTTAGTAATACTACAGTTGAGTTAATTTTTTCCCCTGGAGCAATAATCAAACCTTCTACTGTATCTATGATTAAGCCACAAAACTTGGGCTTTTGAACAGGATCTCAACTTCCCTTTTCTATTGTACAAATCTAATCACAACCTTCCAAATACACTTTTATTATCTCATCTCTTTGCTTCAACAATATATCTCTTACTGGGTGAGCAATCCAAATATCATCAAGGTAATTTCTATAAAATATACTATGTGCTCTCCAACTTCTAATCATTGCTCTTATCACTTTTGCAAACACCCAAGGGGACTAGCTGAAACCAAAAAGAAGTACCTTGTAATAAAACTAGTTTTCTTTAAACACAAAGTCCAGAAAACATTATGCCAAATCATTTATTATTAGATGGTAGTAACCCTTCTTTAAATCAAAGGTTAGCACCCACCAACTTCTTCCTATTGTTTTCAACAAAGTTCCTAATCCTTCGAACTTGAAGGATTTTTTAGGTAGGGTTTTGTTCAATCTCCTGAGATTGATAACTAATCTGAACTTCTTGGTGCCCTATTTGGAAACTACAAACACTGGGCTTACTTCCAAAAGAATCTCTGGCCTTAACCTGCCTACTGATACTAACTTCACTGCCTCTGACTCTATTAAGTACTCCAACTTCTGGTCTATCCATTTCCTTTTCTCTATAGTAAACTGCCACTGTTTCGACACAGGTAGAGAAGCTAGTTCCATCACACATCTTGAAAATATTGGGATCCTTTTTTACTACCATAGGAGCTGGCTTTATAACCTCTTTCTAATAACAGACTACTGATTCTGAATGTAATCTTCCGGTCACAAATTGAGTTTCACCTAACATACTTCTATCTCTCACCTTCTATAAAACTTTCATCCAAGTATAGTCAGCTTCTTTGGAGTTTAGCACTTTCACCACGAAAGAGTGAATCCATATGCTTCCTTGACTCACATTTATTTGCATAGTGCCTTTTTTCTTCACAAAGGTAATATACAACTTGCTTAAATGATATAAATCTATTAGACATTCCCGTATTTCTATATGAAGCCCCAGGTGCACTTTGAAATGTCTGCTGTTTATGTGTACTTGCCCAAGAGTTTTGAGACCAAGAGTTATGAACTGACTGCTAGCCCAAAAAAGAAGAGCCAGATGCATCATGTGAAGGAGTTTGATTCTAATGATAATTCATTGAAGAAGAAACAAACATCTCTTGGGGAGGAATATGTAACAAGTTCAGATGAACAAATAGTTGGGGCTGAACAAATGTAGGCATATACAAATTAAGAACCTGAAACTGAGAAGGTCCCTGCTGACCATACAAAGTTTGACTCTGCCCATAAGACATTTTAGAATGTTTGTTTCTCAAAAACTGCTACGCCGCCATTCTTGCCCTTTCACGTTTTTTTCTAAATAACTCAGACATTAGATCAAATAAATCACTTAATATCATTCTAGCAGCCACATTCCATCCATCTTTATCAGCCACCCTAACTACATATGCCCTTTCAAGCACCACCTGCCTAGCCAACTGAACATACTCGACATTTCCAGAAAAGAGAGCTTTATCCAACAATACACCCGTCTTACATCACTCATTATACTCCTATTGGTTTCTTGCTTTAGACAAATCATGTTTCCTCTATATACCTTTTGCATATTATAATTCAAAGACAAATTACTACCCACAAAGTATGAGTGCAGTGAAAATTGATCGTTACAACCTTTTGCTCCAAAATTCCCACCATCTACTGGTATGTTACCAAAGATATTTGAAAAGCTTTCCCAATCTCATAACTGAACTTACTATCTTCTCCAGATAACTCCTTGATATCATCATCTACATCAACCGATTTCCCTTTAACAGCATTATCAGAACCTACCAAAACATCCCTTTTCTTATACTCAATAACCAAATGATTCACCAAATCCTGCTTTGAACTTGCTTCAAAAAGACCCATTTTATAACAAAAAAACTTTAACATTTCTACTGATATACGGCTAAAATTAGCTTCAAAATTTGTCTGGACACTTCTCTGTGCTGCTTCAACATCATTCTTATATGTTAATTCGATATAGCTATTAGTAAACAATGATTCATCTTCTACGGTAACTGATTTCTTACTCGTATTTATAGTAGCTGACATATTAAAGTTTGCTTAATATAACCAGAACAAATATCGGGTTTGCAGAAGAAACAAAGTTATCTTACTTTCATAACTTACCGATACTAATATAT